CTTTTTTTTTAATGTTAATTTCTTTCTTATTATGAGTAATAGGATAACTATATTTAGTATGTGCGTACCTTGCAAGGTCCTCATGCCCGTCAGACAATTTTCATTTGACCTCGACCTCATTTCACGGATCGGTGAACAAGGTTAAGTTTTCATGGTCAAGTCCATATATCAGATACTATAAGCAGTAGGTCTACTATATTTGGTATATGGAATGATTGTAAGGTGTACATGTCCAAATGGTAGGTGTCATCTGACCTTGACCTCATTTTCATGGTTTAGTGGTCAAAGTTAAGTTTTTGAGTTTTGGTCTTTTTTTCTAATACTATATGCAATAGGTCAACTATAAATGGTGTATGGAAATATTTTATGATGTACATGTCAGTCTCGTAGGTTTTATTTGACCTTGACCTCATTTTCACGATTCATTTCTCAGTGTTAAGTTTTTGTGTTTTGGTCTGTTTTTCTTTAACTATAAGCAATAGATCAACTATATTTGTTGTATGGAAGGATTGTAAGGTGTATATGTCTGTCTGGCAAGTATCATCTTTGTTTCTTAGATACTATAAGATACTATAAGCAATAGGTCAACTATATTTAATACATAAATTGATTGTAAGGTGTACATGTCTGTCTGGCAAGGTTCATCTGACCTTGACCTCATTTTCATGGTTCATTGGTCAATGTTAAGTTTTCTTGGTTAAGACTGTTTCTTAGAAACTATAAGCAATAGGTCAACTATGTTTGGTTTATTGAATTATTGTAAGGTGTACATGTATTTCTTGTTTGGTTTATCTGACCTTGATCTCATTTTCTTGGATCATGTTAAGTTTATGTGTTACTTGTAGTAAAGCTTTATATTTAGGACTATCAACATTAAATCAATGGTTAGTAAAGAAGGCGAGACATTTCAGCGTGTGCACTCTTGTTATTGTTTATGTACAATATCCTGTATTTTGAAGTAAATATTTTGTGTGTTTTAAATTGTGTGTTTTTTATTGTTTATGTACAACTACAAGTTAATTCAGAACATAGCTTAATGAACACAAAAAGTATAAGACCCACAGCTCAAAGTTACTTCAGATCACAGCAGATTATATACAAGCAGTATAAACAACACAATTTGAAACTCATTCAGAACATACCATTTTGTACATATGCAGTATAAAACACAGAACTACAAGTTACTTCAGAACATACCATTTTGTACATATGCAGTATAAAACACAGAACTACAAGTTACTTCAGAACATAACAGATTGTACACAAGTAGTTAAAAACACACATCTACAAGTTACTTTACAACATAACATATTGTACATAAGCAGTATAAAACGCACAACTACAAGTTACTTCAGAACATAACAGATTGTACACAAGTAGTTAAAAACACACATCTACAAGTTACTTCAGAACATAACAGATTGTACATAAGCAGTATAAAACGCACAACTACAAGTTACTTCAGAACATAACAGATTGTACACAAGTAGTTAAAAATACACAACTACAAGTTACTTCAGAACATAACAGATTGTACATAAGCAGTATAAAACGCACAACTACAAGTTAATTCAGAACATAACAGGTTGTACACAAGTAGTTAAAAACACACATCTACAAGTTACTTCAGAACATAACAGATTGTACATAAGCAGTATAAAACGCACAACTACAAGTTACTTCAGAACATAACAGATTGTACACAAGTAGTTAAAAACACACAACTACAAGTTACTTCAGAACATAACAGATTGTACATAAGCAGTATAAAACACACAACTACAAGTTACTTCAGAACATAATAGATTGTACATAAGCAGTATAAAACACACAACTACAAGTTACTTCAGCACATAACAGATTGTAGATAAGCATCTAAAACACACAGCTGCTGGTACTTAAGAACATAAAAGATTGTACTTAAAGCAGCATAAAAGACATAACTACAAGTTACTTCAGAACATAACAGATTGTTTAAAAGCAGTGTAAAACATACAAAAACAAGTTACTTTAGAACATAACAGAGTGTACTTAAATCGGTATAAAACACATAACTACAAGTTATTTCAAAACATAACAGATTGTACATAAGCAGTATAAAACACACAACTGCAAGTTATTTTAGAACATAACAGATTGTACTTAAATCGGTATAAAACACATAACTACAAGTTATTTCAAAACATAATAGATTGTACATTAGCAGTATAAAGCACACAACTACAAGTAACTTCAGAACATAACAGATTGTACATAAGCAGTACAAAACACACAACTACAAGTTACTTCTGAACATAAAAGATTGTACATAAGCAGTATAAAACACACAACTACATGTTACTTCAGAACATAACAGATTGTACATAAGCAGTATAAAACACACAACTACAAGTTACTTCAGAACATAACAGAGTGTACATAAGCATCTAAAACACACAGCTGCTGGTACTTAAGAACATAAAAGATTGTACTTAAAGCAGCATAAAAGACATAACTACAAGTTACTTCAGAACATAACAGATTGTTTAAAAGCAGTGTAAAACATACAAAAACAAGTTACTTTAGAACATAACAGAGTGTACTTAAATCGGTATAAAACACATAACTACAAGTTATTTCAAAACATAACAGATTGTACATCAGCAGTATAAAACACACAACTGCAAGTTATTTTAGAACATAACAGATTGTACTTAAATCGGTATAAAACACATAACTACAAGTTATTTCAAAACATAACAGATTGTACATTAGCAGTATAAAACACACAACTACAAGTAACTTCAGAACATAACAGATTGTACATAAGCAGTACAAAACACACAACTACAAGTTACTTCTGAACATAAAAGATTGTACATAAGCAGTATAAAACACACAACTACATGTTACTTCAGATCATAACAGATTGTACATAAGCAGTATAAAACACACAACTACAAGTTACTTCAGAACATAACAGAGTGTACATAAGCATCTAAAACACACAGCTGCTGGTACTTAAGAACATAAAAGATTGTACTTAAAGCAGCATAAAAGACATAACTACAAGTTACTTCAGAACATAACAGATTGTTTAAAAGCAGTGTAAAACATACAAAAACAAGTTACTTTAGAACAAAGCAGCTGGTACATAAGCAGTACAAAACACACAACTATAAGTTACTTCAGAACATAACAGATTGTACTTAAATCGGTATAAAACACATAACTACAAGTTATTTCAAAACATAACAGATTGTACATAAGCAGTATAAAACACACAACTGCAAGTTATTTTAGAACATAACAGATTGTACATAAGCAGTATAAAACACACAACTACAAGTTACTTCAGCACATAACAGATTGTACATAAACAGTATAAAACACACAACTACAAGTTACTTCAGAACATAACAGATTGAACATAAGTACATGTAGTATAAAACACATAACTACAAGTTACTTCAGAACATAACAGATTGTACATAAGTACATGTAGTATAAAACACACAACTACGAGTTACTGCAGAACATAACAGATTATACATAAGAAGTATAAAACACATAACTACAAGTAAATTAAGAACATAACAGATTGTACATAAGTACATGTAGTATAAAACACACAACTACAAGTTACTTCAGAACATTTCAGATTTTACATAAGTGGTATAAAACACACAACTACAAATTACTTCAGAACATAACAGATTGTACATAAGCAGTATAAAACACACAACTACAAGTTACTTCAGAACATAACAGATTGTACATAAGCAGTATAAAACACACAACTACAAATTACTTCAGAACATAACAGATTGTACATGAGCAGTATAAAACACACAACTACAAGTTACTTCAGAACATAACAGATTGTACATAAGCAGTATGAAACACACAACTACAAATTACTTCAGAACATAACAGATTGTACATAAGCAGTATAAAACACACAACTACAAATTACTTCAGAACATAACAGATTGTACATAAGCAGTATAAAACACACAACTACAAGTTACTTCAGAACATAACAGATTGTACATAAGCAGTATAAAACACACAACTACAAGTTACTTCAGAACATAACAAATTGTACATAAACAATATAGAACCCATAACTACAAGTTACTTCAAAACATAACAGATTGTACATAAGCAGTATAAAACACATAACTACAAGTTACTTCAGAACATAATATAATACTATATCTGTATGGAAACTGAAATTTATATCGTCATACTGAATTTCGATATTAAATCAAAATCTGTTTTTAATTAAACAGTTTTAGTGAGGAAAAAAATGAATAAAGGTATTTTTTTTAAATAATTATTTTTGTTTGTTTTGAATTATAGTTGATAAAGTTCTTAGTTTGAATGTTAACAAGAACATTTTTTACACCAAGGTTTAACAGCGGCTGTAAAACAAATATCACATATGTATGTTAATCTTCACTTTGACCACATTCCTTCATCTATACAAAATTATGTTGTTAATTACACAGGTTTAATGGACAACAAATATTTGTAAGAATTATATAAAGTGGGGTCTCATTTTGCTCGTCTCCTCAAACTTAATCAGGAAATTCAATTTTTTTTCATATTTGAAAAAGTTACTTTTTAAAAAATTGATCATTATTCTGAATCATGTTAATCAGACAGATTTAATCATTATATCAACAAATACTTGTTAGGATTATATAAAGTGAGATGTCATTTTACTCAGAGAGTTGTAATGAATCCATTGATGTAAATATTTTATTTCATTTCTTCAAAAAATATTTTTTTTAACATGACAGTTCTGATGGAAGTTTTGACATCTCAAAAAAAAACATGTTGTTTAATTGTTGTTTATGTACACTATAAATACAAGTGTGACTGGTCATTTTATTCAGTTTTGACCACTGATTTATGTGATATATATTTTGTTTATATTTATTACACAACATTGTCCAGTTTATCAGACAAGTTTTGATGTCAGTTGTATTATTCCAGAGAGATGGAGAGACAGCATTAATGTTGGCTGTCTGGGAAGGACACCTGGAGATCTGTCGCCTTCTCATTGATACAGGATGTAAGATCGACACCACAGAAGTATGTTATCTACTTAGTCTGATCACATTACTATTAATCAACACAAAATCATGTTGTTAATGAGACAGGTTTAATGAACAAATATTTGTAATAATTATATCAAGTGGGGTCTCATTTTACTCATATTATTGTTCTGAATCAGAAAATATTACTCCTTTTATGTTTCTTTAAAAAAAATATTTTATTAAAATGAATGATTATACTGAATCTACACTAAATCCTGATGTTAATTAGACAGTTTTAATGAACAAATATGTGTAAGAATCATATAAAGTGGGGTCTCATTTTACTTGTTTTGTTCTACTGAATCCATTGATATAATTATTTTACACATTTCTTGAAAAAAAATTTTTTTTTAAGATATCAGGTTTAATGGAAGTTTTGACATTTCACAACAAAACATGTTTATTTATTGTTTATATAGAATATAAATACAAGTGTGACTGGTCATTTTATTCAGTTTTGACCACTGATTCATGTGATATATATTTTGTTTATATTTATTACACAACATTGTCCAGTTTATCAGACAAGTTTTGATGTCAGTTGTATTATTCCAGGTTGGTGGACGGACAGCATTAATGTGGGCTGTCAGGGTAGGACACCTGGAGGTCTGTAGACTTCTCATTGATACAGGATGTAAGATCGATACCACAGAAGTATGTTATCTACTTAGTCTGATCACATTACTATTAATCAACACAAAATCATGTTGTTAATTAGACAGGTTTAATGAACAAATATTTGTAATAATTATATCAAGTGGGGTCTCATTTTACTCATATTATTGTTCTGAATCAGAAAATATTACTCCTTTTCATGTTTCTTTAAAAAAATTATTTTATTAAAATGAATAATTCAACTGAATCTACACTAAATCCTGTTGTTAATTAGACAGGTTTAATGAACAAATATTTGTAAGAATCATATAAAGTGGGATCTCATTTTACTTGTTTTGTTCTACTGAATCCATTGATATAATTATTTTACACATTTCTTGAAAAAAATTTTTTTTTTAAGATATCAGGTTTAATGGAAGTTTTGACATTTCACAACAAAACATGTTTATTTATTGTTTATATAGAATATAAATACAAGTGTGACTGGTCATTGTATTCAGTTTTGACCACTGATTCATGTGATATATATTTTGTTTATATTTATTACACAACATTGTCCAGTTTATCAGACCAGTTTTAATGTCAGTTGTAGGATATATTGTATATTATTGATATTGATACCAAAGTATTGTCCATAATATTTACATGTTATTTGGTTATATTATAGATCCATGGATACACAGCTTTACATTGGGCTGCTGAGGAGGGATATCTACAGATCACAAGATGTCTGGTAGAAGGAGGTGCCAGTCCCTTTGTTACAACACATAAGGTAATATTTTATAGTATATACCCAGTGTTTAACTATTAAGTAATAAATCACTAAAATGATGTATGTTTGGTCAAATGGTTTTTTTCAAGACTATAGTGTAAGTCATATGATCATTTGAATTGAACTTAAAATATGAAAAAAGTTTTATAGGAGGGTGTGGATGGGGTATATAGATATAATAGGGTGTGGATGGGGTATACAGATATAGGAGGGTGTGGATGGGGTATACAGATGTAGGAGGGTGTGGATGGGGTAAACGGATATAGGAGGGTGTGGATGGGGTACATAAATATAGGAGAGTTAGGAGGGGGTATACAGATGTTGGAGGATGTGTATGGAGTATATATATATAAGTGGATGTGGATGGGGTATACAGATATAGGAGGGTATAGAGGGGGTATACAGATATAGGAGGTTGTGGATGGGGTATAAGGGTGTGGATGGGGTATACAGATATAGGAGGGTGTGGATGGGGTAAACAGATATAGGAGGGTGTGGATGGGGTACATAGATATAGGAGAGTGTAGATGGGGTATACAGATATCGGAGGATGTGGAAGGGATATACAGATATCGGAGGGTCAGGATGGAGTATACAGATAAAGGAGGGTGTGGATGGGGAAAACAGATATAAGAGGATGTGGATGGGGTATACAGATATAGGAGGATGTGGATGGTGTATACAAATATAGAAGGGTCAGGATGGGGTATACAGATATAAGAGGGTGTGGATGGGGTATACAGATATAGGAGTGTGTAGATGGGGGTATACAGATGTAGGAGGGTGTGGATGGGGTATACAGATATTGGAGGATGTGATTGGTGTATACAGATACAGGAGTGTGGATGGGGTATACAGATATAGAAGGGTCAGGATGGGGTATACAGATATAGGAGGATATGGAGGGGGTATACAGATATAGGAGGGTGTGGATGGGGTATACAGATATTGGAGGATGTGATTGGTGTATACAGATACAGGAGTGTGATGGGGTATTCAGATATAGGAGAGTGTGAATGGGGTATACAGACATAGAAGGGTCAGGATAGGGTATACAGATAAAGGAGGGTTTGGATGGAGTATACAGGTATAGGAGGGTGTGAATGGTGTATACAGATATAGGAGGGTGTGAATGGTGTATACAGATACAGGAGGATGTTGATGGGGGTATACAGATATTGGAGGATGTGATTGGTGTATACAGATACAGGAGTGTGGATGGGGTATACAGATATAGAAGGGTCAGGATGGGGTATACAGATATAAGAGGATGTGGAGGGGGTATACAGATATAGGAGGGTGTAGATGGGGTATACAGATATAGGAGGGTGTGGATGGGGTATACAGATATAAGAGGATATGGATGGGGTATACAGATATAGGAGGATGTGGATGGTGTATACAAGTATAGAAGGATCAGTATGGTATACAGATATAGAAGGGTCAGGATGGGGTATACAGATATATGAGGGTGTGGATTGGGTATACAGATATAGGAGTGTGTAAATGGGGTATACAGATATAGGAGGGTGTGGATGGGGTATACAGATATTAGAGGATGTGATTGGTGTATACAGATATAGGAGGGTCAGGATAGGGTATACAGATAAAGGAGGGTTCGGATGGGATATACAGGTATAGGAGGGTGTGAATGGTGTATACAGATACAGGAGGATGTTGATGGGGTATACAGATAAAGAACGGTCTGGAGGGGCTTGTATGTGAATGGTGTATACAGATATAGGAGTGTGTAAATGGGGTATACAGATATAGGAGGGTGTGGATGGGGTATACAGATATTGGAGGATGTGATTGGTGTATACAGATATAGGAGGGTCAGGATAGGGTATACAGATAAAGGAGGGTTTGGATGGGGTATACAGATATTGGAGGATGTGATTGGTGTATACAGATATAGGAGGGTCAGGATAGGGTATACAAATATAGGAGGGTGTGGATAGGGTATACAGATATAGAAGGCTCAGGATGGGGTATACAGATATAGGAGGGTGTGTATGGGATATACAGATATAGGAGGGTGTGAATGGTGTATACAGATATAGGAGGGTGTGGATTGGGTATACATATATAGGAGGGTGTGAATGGGGTATACAGATATAGGAGGGTGTGAATGGTGTATACAGATATAGGAAAATGTGGATGGGGTATAAAGATATAGGAAGGTGTGAATGGGGTATACAGATATAGGAGGATGTGGATGGGGTTTACAGATATAGGAGGATGTGGATGGAGTTTACAGACATAGGAAAGTGTGGATGGGATATACAGATATAGGAGGGTGTTGATGGGTAATCACATATAGAAGGGTGTGGATTGGGTATACAGATATAGGAAGGTGGATGGTGTATACAGATATAGGAGGGTTTGGATGGGGTATACAGATATACGAGGGTGTGGATGAAGTAAACACATATAGGAGGGTGTGGATGGGGTTAACAGATATAGGAGGCTTAGGATTGGGTATACAGATATAGGAGGCTTAGGATTGGGTATACAGATATAAGGGTGTAGAGGGGGTATACAGATATAAGAGGGTGTGGATGGGATATGCAGATTAGAAAATCATGAATGGAAGAAAAAAACATTGAAAATGGAGAGAAACGGGAGAAAAATTAATGAATAGAAAAGAATTGGGTGCAAAAATATAAAGAATAGAGAATAATTTTTGGGTGTTGAAATATAAAGGACTGTCAATAATGTGTCTAAAAAAGTAGAAAAGATAGTTGAAAATGAAGACCCCCCAAAGTCCCACACCCCTTATGTAGACATAAGGATGCATTTACCAATCTTTAAACTGCAAAGAAAACTACAAAGATCAATTGATGACAGATGGAACTTTTATTCATATGCTTTATAAAGAAAAGTAAAAAACCCTTTTAAAGGCTTCAAACAATTGTGAAAAATAATCTGAATGTTGTCTCATCAGTTATATTTAATGAACGAAAATAATATGGTTAGCATCTATAAAAATAAAATAAAACACCACTCAGCTGCTACTAGTACTAATTGTAAGATATGTGTGATAAAAGTCTTCTTTGAGATGAAAGCAATATAAAGATTTGTCTGTATTTCAGGGTAAGACTCCTTACGATCTAGCAGCAGAACGGAAGAGAGGACAGTATAAAGAAGTGATGGAATACTTACAGGTACATATAGTGTTGAATTACACATGCTTCAAGTAGAAAAGAAGTTACAAAATATAAAGAAATATAAAACTAAAAAATCATATGCTGCAAAACCAAGATACTTCAGGAGAGAAATCTTTAAACAGTTACACATTCTTTAAGTCTTGAACAAACAATTTAAAAGTCTAATGAAATTTATCTATTATCAAGTTTTTTATTGGACAACATCATATATTTGAGGCGCTAAATTCCACACTTTACCGGCCTTTAACTAAGCTTAGCCGTCATTTTCATTTTTCAATTGAGGAATTTATTGTTATGTGATTTTTTAAATAATCACCAAAGTTAGCAGATGTATTCTATTTCATTCAAGAGTGACCAAGACGAGAGCAAGTTTTTTGAAATTCTATTTGTAAAATGTTTACACTGACAGTATGTTGATATTTGAATGCTTTGTTAATTTTGTATAGAATGCATAACAATGGAGATAACTGTATTGTATTTTTAGCTTGGCCTACATTAAACTTTGCCCTACTTTTTTTTGGTCCTTGGACTTTTTTTTTATTATGCTTGAAGATATTGATTTGATATTGGATATATTGTTTTACCATGACAAGTTAAAGATCAAGTCGGAATTTTGTTCTGGTGTGATAATTTTGTGCAGAGTTATGGTCCTTGAACTTAAAAAAAATTCACGCAAATAATAAGTTTCCACACTTTTTTATATGACCGCAAAAAAACTTTTTGGGACCGTATAATGGTATGATGTCGTCGGCGTCGTTGTCCGAAGATACATTGGTTTCCGGACAATAACTTTAGTTTAAGTGAACGGATCTCTATGAAATTTTTTAAGAAGGTTCAATACCACAAAAGGAAGGTAGGGATTGATTTTGGGGATGATGGTCCCAACTGTTTAGGAATTAGGGGCCCAAAAAGGGGCCCAAAACAAGCATTTTTCTAGTTTCAGGATAACTTGTGTATAAGTATTTCGATTGCTCTGAAATTGTACCACAATGTTTAATACCACAAGTAGAAGGTTGGGATACATTTTAGGGGTTATGGTGCCAACAGTTTAGGAATTAAGGGCCAAAAAGGGGCCAAAAACAAGCATTTTTCTAGTTTCCAGACAATAACTTGTGTGTAAGTGTATGGATCTCTCTGACATTGTACCACAAGGTTCCATATTACAAAGGGAAGGCTGGGATTGAGTTTGGGGTTAATTGCCCCAAACCTGTATGAATTAGGGGCCAAAAAAGGGCCAAAAACAAGCATTTTTCTAGTTTCCAGACAATAACTTGTGTGTAAGTGTATGGATCTCTCTGAAATTGTACTGCAAGGTTCCATACTACAAAGGAAAGGCTGGGATTGAGTTTTAGGGTTATTGCTCCAAGGGGGCTTTCAAAAAGTTGGGGGAGGGGGAGAATTTTTTTAAGGGATTCATATTTTTTTTTCAAAATTTTTAAAATTTCAAATTTTTGAAAAGTTTCAAGAAGAAATCTTCAATTGCACATTATTGCGCAATTGATTTATAAGATCTTTGACCACATTTATTTTGTGTCAGAAACCTATATTATGTCAAAAATTTGATCACAATCCAAATTCAGACAGTATCAAGCTTGAATATTGTGTCCAAATTTGCCCCAACTGTTCAGGGTTCAACCTCTGCGGTCGTATCAGGCTGTGCTCAGCGAAGCATTTTATTCTGTCATGCTTGAAGATATTGATTTGATATTTTACAACATGACAAGTTATAGATAAAGTTAGCATTTTGTTCCAGTACAATGATTTTTTAACCAGTAGGGGACTGTGTATTGCCATGCAATACTCTCAAAATGCTTGTTTTCATTTTTTTGTCTCTTATCTCAAAAACTATATGAGATAGGTAAGGATTGTTTATCACAAAAGGGATCAACAATACATGATCTACCAAATGTCAATATGACATAAAACAATGGACCATAGAAATTATTGACCTTGTCCTTGAATGATATTTTTCTTATTAATTTTGATGCCTTTGCCCATTACCTTGAAAACTATTATAGAGAAGTATAAACTGTAAACAGGAAAAATAATCAGAAATGCAAGGTCTATAAAACTGCCACTACAACCTAAACAACTGGATGACCTCTTAAGGAGTTATAGATAGCCTTAAAAAGACAAAACATGGCTGCCGTAGCTCAAAATAGAACATAAGGGTTAAATGCATTGATTGTCTTATATCTTGAAACCCCAAATAAAGCGAAAAAAATCTGTAAGGAGAAAAAATGCTCTGATTGTCAAGATCTACCTACCTTCAATTTCACCAAATAATCTTGTTGCATTGCATCCAACAGTGAGCATGTGAGGTGTGTTTGACTCCAATCTTGATTGACCTGCCGAATGTCATGGTTCTCTCAAGGCACTCAGTCTCCCTCCAACAGTGAGCTTGTGAGGTGTGTTTGACTCCAATCTTGATTGACCTGCCAAATGTCATGGTTCTCTCAAGGCACTCAGGCGCCCTTCAACTGAGCATGTGAGGTGTGTTTGACTCCAATCTTGATTGACCTGCCGAATGTCATGGTTCTCTCAAGGCACTCAGGCTCCCTCCAACAGTGAGCATGTGAGGTGTGTTCGACTCCAATCTTGATTGACCTGCCAAATGTCATGGTTCTCTCAAGGCACTCAGGCTCCCTCCAACAGTGAGCTTGTGAGGTGTGTTTGACTCCAATCTTGATTGACCTGCCAAATGTCATTGTTCTCTCAAGGCACTCAGGCTCCCTCCAACTGAGCATGTGAGGTGTGTTTGAATCCAATCTTGATTGACCTGCCAAATGTCATGGTTCTCTCAAGGCACTCAGGCTCCCTCAAACAATGAAAATTGATTGCCACAATAAACATGATAAAGTATAGTAGTGTTAAACACCAACAATCAATCAATCATTGAATTACGTAATCAATCCAATTTAGTGTACACAAAAATGTCAAGGTGAGCGATACAAGTTCCATTGATCCTCATGTTTTGTATTTATTTCTGCTTTTTATCTTTTAAACTATAAAACTTGGTCAAGCCAAAATGATCAATTTACAGTGCATATTCCTTATTTTTTAGACTGTCATGTCAGAGAAATCTTCAGGTGTGACTGCTGGACAAGGGATAGAAGGTAATTTTCTATAACTTTATTTCATTAGTTTTAATACATAATATGTTATACCTCCACTCTAGGAATTGCAGACTAACAACATGTTTTCTGTACGTTTCATGCAATTAACTGCAATGTATTGATGAGATTAATCACCATAATAGATAATAACAAACTAGGGAGCTATAGTGTTAACAGCTTTTTAATATATGAAATACAAGACTTAGCAAGTACCATCAACTATATGGTCTTCTGCACTCTGCAATTGCAAGCAATATTCAACTTTGCTAGAATTATTTCCCCAAGAAAAAGCTAACCATTGTATAGATGACACGCTGACGTAATAGCTGTTAGAAACCACCTGCGACTAAAGTCATAGAATGCATGACATAGGGATTTCAATCCAATCATGTCATGGATCAGTAATCAAGGTAGAGTTTTCGTTGTGAAGTCAGTATCTTAGATACTTTAAACAGTAGGTCAACTATATTTGATTTATAGAATGATTGTAATGTGAACATGTCTGTCTGGTAGTTTTCATATGATCTTCATCTTATTTTTGTCGAGCCTGTGACTTCTGTCGCAGAAAGCTCGACATCAGGGATAGTGATCCAGCGTTGACCTTGGCGGCAGCATTAACTAACTACTTAAAAGCTTTATATTTGAGATGGTGGAAGACCTGGATCTTCATACTCTGTATATATAGATGCCTTATGTTATGAAATTTCCATCTGTCATATGTCCATTGTCCTTGACCTCATTTTCATAGTTCAGTGACTTCTTGAAAAAAAAGATTTTTATGCCCCGCTTAGGGGCATTGTGTTTTTCGGTCTGTGCTTCTGTTCGTCCTTCTGTCCGTTCGTCCTGCTTCAGGTTAAAGTTTTTGGTCAAGGTAGTTTTGGATGATGTTGAAATCCAATCAACTTGAAACACAGTACACATGTTCCCTATGAGATGATGATCTTTTTAATGTTAATGCCAAATTAGAGTTTTGACCCTAATTTCACGGTCCACTGAACATAGAAAATGATAGTATGAGTGGGGCATCAGTGTACTATGGACACATTCTTGTTTGTAATGTTAATTTCTCTCTTATTATGAGTAATAGGATAGCTATATCTAGTATGTGCTTACCTTGCAAGGTCCGTGTGCCTATTAGGCAGTTTTCATCTGACCTCGACCTCATTTCATGGATCAGTGGACAAGGTTAAGTTTTCTTGGTCAATAGATATAAGAAGATGTGGTATGAGTGCCAATGAGACAACTCTCCATCCAAGTCAAAATTTATAAAAGTAAACCATTATAGGTCAAAGTACGGTCTTCAACACAGAGCCTTGGCTCACACTGAACAACAAGCTATAAAGGACCCCAAAAATGACTAGTGTAAAACCATTCAAACAGGAAAACCAACGGTCTAATCTATATAAAAAACGAGCAACACTTATGAATACATGTTATATCAATATTAGCCGATCTTTTCGGCTAACATATAATACGTTGTTCGGGTGTGCCTTTTTTATGTGTTGATTTAGGTTGTTTTACGTATTCGTTTGTATTACAAGTTAGTCACCACTTCGGTGTTAACATGTATATCTATTATATAGTCATTTTTATAAATTTACTGTTTGCAAAAGTATGAATTATTCTAAATACTAACGATTGTCTTATCCCAGGCATATAACCTTAGCCGTATTTGGCACAACTTTTTGGAACTTTTGGTCCTCAATGCCCTTCAACTTTGTACTTGTTTTGGCTTTCAAAATTTTTTGATTTGAGCGTCACTGATGGGTCTTATGTAGACGAAAGGCGCGTCTGGCGTATTAAATTATAAGCCTTTTACCTTTTGATAGCTATTATTTGTGTGTGTCTCTGTCCTGTATGTTCTCCCTTTTATTATACCCCACGCAACGAGTTGCAGAGGGTATAATGTTTTTGACCCGTCCGTCCGTCTGTCCGTCAGTCCTGTTTCTTGTCATCGCAACTCCTCTCAAACCACACAACAGAATTTCACGAAACCTTTTTAGATAATAAGGACATACTATGTAGTTGTGCATATAGACAGGAAATTACGATTCAACTTTTTTTCTAGGAGTTACGCCCCTTTGAACTTATTTGCCCAATATACTACTGCAACCTTTTGTCATCGCAACTCCTCTCAAACCACACAACAGAATTTCACGAAACCTTTTTAGATAATAAGGACATACTATGTAGTTGTGCATATCGACAGGAAATTACGATTCAATTTTTTTTCTAGGAGTTACGCCCCTTTGAACTTATTTACTTTAATGTACTCCTGCAATAGTTTGTCATCTCAACTCCTCTGAAACCACACAACAAAATTTCATGAAACTTTGTAGATAATAAGGACATACTAGGTAGATGTGCATATCGACAGGAAATTATGATTCAATTTTTTTTCTAGGAGTTACGCCCCTTTGAACTTATTTGCTTCAATATACCTCTGCAACAGTTTGTCATAGCAACTCCTCTGAAACCACACAACAGAATTTCATGAAACTTTGTAGATAATAAGGACATACTATGTAGATGTGCATATCGACAGGAAATTACGATTCAATTTTTTTTTCTTGCAGTTATTTTATTTCTCCAGTGACAATGTGGGGACGTGGGGTATGTGAGCGCGCTCACTAAGGTTCTTTAATTTGTATTGTAGTCCTGTCATGTAATCTTGTCATTTTTGTCGAGCCTTCGACTTTTGTCGAAAAAGCGAGACATAGCGATCCTACATTCCGTTGTCGTCATTGGCGGCGGTGTCCACAAATATTCACTCTGTGGTTAAAGTTTTTGAAATTTTAATAACTTTCTTAAACTATCCTGAATTTCTACCAAACTTGGACAGAAGCTTGTTTATGTTCATAAGATAATATCCCAAAGTAAATTTTGTAAAAAAAAAAATCCATTTTTTCCGTATTTTACTTATAAATGGACTTAGTTTTTCTGCCAGGAAACATTACATTCACTCTGTGGTTAAAGTTTTTGAAATTTTAATAACTTTCTTAAACTATCCTGGATTTGTACCAAACTTGGAAAGAAGCTTGTTTATGATCATAAGATAGTATCCAGAAGTAAATTTTGTAAAAAAAATAAATCATTTTTTAGTATTTTTCTTATAAATGGACTTAGTTTTTCTGCCAGTTAACATTACATTCACTCTGTGGTTAAAGTTTTTAAAATTTTAACAGCTTTCTTAAAATATCTTAGATTTGTACCAAACTTGGACAGAAGCTTGTTTATGATTAAAAGCAAGTATCTAGAAGGAAATTTTGTTAAAATTTTGTTCCATTTTTTCAGTATTTTACTTATAAATGGACTTAGGTTTTCTTCCAGTTAACATTACATACAGTCTGCAGTTTAAGTTTTTAAAACATTTATTAGATTCATAAACTATCCTGGATTTTTACCAAACTTGGATGGACAGAAGCTACTTACAATCAAAAGATAGTATAGAGAGGAATATTTTTATTAATTTTTTTCCTCATTTTTGTTGAGCCTGCGATTAACAGCAAAAGTAGGCGAGACACTGGGTTCAGCGGAACCCTTACGAATTTTAATGTTATATTTAACATTGCCATAAAAGCGGGAGGTTTGGCTAGCCACAAAACCAGGTTCAACCCACCATTTTTTCTTAAAATGTCCTGTACCAAGTCAGGAAAATGGCCATTGTTATATTATAGTTCGTTTCTGTGTGTGTTGCATTTTAGTGTTGTGTTTCGGTTGTGTCGTTGTTCTCCTCTTATATTTGATGTGTTTCCCTCAGTTTTAGTTTGTAACCCGGATTTGTTTTTTTCTCAATCGATTTATGAATTTCGAATAGCGGTATACTACTGTTGCCTTTATTTATGAACCACATCAACAAACGACAACTACTGAACTTCAGATTCCTGACAGGTGCAAATGTCTGTTTTTCTAATACTATAAGCGATAGGTCAACTATATTTGGTGTATGGAAATATTTTACAATGTACAGTCAGTCTGTCAGTCTGGTAGGTTTTATTTGACCTTGACCTCATTTTCAAGGTTCATTGCTCAGTGTTAAATATTTATGTTTTGGTCTGTTTTTCTTAAACTATAAGCAATAAGTCAAATATATTTAGTGTATGGAATGATTATAAGGTGTAAATGTCTGTCCAGCAGGTACGATCTGACCTTGACCTCATTTTCATGGTTCATTGGTCAATGTTGGAATTTCATGGTTAAGTTTGTTTCTTAGATACTATAAGCAATATGTCAACTATATTTAACATGTTTAATGCATAGGTTGGTTTAAGGTGTTCATGTCTGTCTGGCATGGTTTTTCTGACCATGACCTCATTTGCTTGGATCGTCTTAAGTTTATGTGATACTTGTAGTAAAGCTTTGTATTTAGGACTATCAACATAAAATCAATGGTCGATAAAGCAGGTGAGACATTTCAGTGTGTACACTCTTACCTTTTGTCTCGCCTTGACAAAGTCAAGGAGGTGAGAATTGGGCCTGGTGTTGTTGGTGCCAACTATTTGTTAAAGTTTGTGATTATGTCAATTTCAGAGGAATAACGAAAGGAAAGTCAGCAATACTTTGTATGCAGTTGTTTGAGCATTGTCACATCAAATTTCCACAGAGTTTATTTGTCATGGTCTATCATGCCTACGTAAAATGTTTAAAAGTTTGTGATTAGGTGTACCACTTATTGTAAGTCAATGATAATTGATAATCAGTTGTATCTTGAAAATTTTACTTTTATCGGTTTGGTCAGTAACAAAATTTAAAGGTCTGACTAAAATAACCAATATATCAGTTAAGGATGTTCGCTCCTCTTGTTTTTAATTTTTGCCAGATATTCGGAATCCTCTGGTTTTATCCATGTAGTGTCATTAAAAAAATTTCCCCCCTAACCCCTACTTTTCTTTTTATAATTTTATTACTAATAGTTTAAAAAGCCATATTTGAAAATCCTATAAAATCCTTGTTATTTTTTCATAATTTTTGAAAGAAAACGGGTGCCAATGTTAAATGTA